TCTGCTTTAATGGATCTGGCATTCAAAGTCTTAACAATCGCTGATGGTTCTACCATTCTTCTGCCCGATAGCCCAACATCAAACCACAGATGTAACAACAAATCCAAAAAACCTAATGGATACATCTGCACACAAAAGCCAAAGCACACAAGAAGACGCACACGCACGTCTTTGAGAGACAAGGCTGCGTGTTCCCATTCAGGTGTGTCAGTTTACACAAATCAAACAAACCCTTTTCATCCTATTTGATTCATACTGGAGTGGAAAAATTAAAGCACATACTTTGAAATATTTCTTTAATTTCTGCTAACTCACAGTGTATCATCATGAGTGATGTTGATACTTTAATGAAGGGCATTGGACATTTCCATGAAATCAAAGTAAATAAATGATAAAAGGCACTTGATTTCTAAAAAAAGCAGCCATAAATAGCCCACCTTTTTTTGTCCCAGATGGAACTTACCAACGTCCTAATTTAAAACAGGCGTCGAGGGACAACAAAGTGGCCTTTCTAGTGTCGAGACAAGCTCAAATCTAAACCAAATGTTTGAGAGGTATGCACCAGCAACCCCTGCCCGCATACAAATACAGCCAAGGAAACTGCGTAGATCAAACAAATGCTGCATTTTTTGGTGATTTTCAATCAGGCCGCTGTGCAGGGAACTGCCCTGTGTAAACACTGAATAGAAGCTGTAGCTTCTGACAACATCACTTAACTACTCTGAAGACTTTCCATTATTTTGACATGACACATGCTTACAGTTCTGCACTGATGTCCACTAACATCAGGAACAAAAACGCTGCCGTCAAGCAGAGAATGTGTCTTTCGAATCTAGGCATTTACCCCCAGTTGACTTTGCCCCCGCATGGCATTACGTGTCACACGGATTTATTCGAAGAGGTTGGTCATGCTCCCCTGCAGTGAAAGACAACACCTCATATTTACAGCAATAGCAACAACAGTTGCTGAGGTAGAGTTTATAACCCTGACTCACCATATCCAGAGGCTTGAACACATGGTGAATGAGGTCCTCTGAAGAAGGATTGGTGATGGTTGATTTCAGGCGAGCCTGAGAAATAAACAGAGACGATGAATATGCAGCTGCCACGAGTAAGCAAATAATGAAGCTGGACTTGATGGTATACATACCAAGAGGCTGAAGCAATATTTGAATTTCTGGAAGATATCAATGAATTCCCCATCTGGTGGAGGGCGAGCCTTTGTGGCGAGTAGCTCGTCTGTTGTTTGGGAACAAAATATAACAGCAGTTGATGGATATGTTGCTTCAAACTAGAGAAACTGGAGAAATCTCTGCATCTCCCTCTTACCTTCAGCGCTTTGCTTTTTACTTTTCTTCTTCTTCTTCTTTCTTTGGTTCAGCACCGTTGCAGCTTCAGCAGTCTGCTGCAGCTTGCCCATGAAGGCCTCGATTTCGTCGAAACAGTGATTAAGGATCCCCTGAGGAAAGAAGAATTGCCTTCGTTACGTGAAAAGCAGCCAAAAGTGGCGACAAAAGACACAAAAGAGATGAGCTAACTTACCACTTCTCTCTCTGCTCGCAGGAAAGAGATATCAGGTCCGCCATTTGCTGTCATGAAATAGAGCAAGGGACTCAGTTTATCCATGTTCATTCATCTCTGCACTTCCCAAAGCTGCCCTCTCACAAACACAAGCTGACAAAGCCATCTCTGTGCTCCGGAGAGACGTTTGCCTCGAATACCTGTCGCTTCTCTCCTTTCCTCCTGCTCACTTTCC